ATTTTGAGAGATCGAAGCAATGACACGGCAGCGCGATATAATTCGTCGGCTAAATAAGGTTAATTATTAGTGAGGAATGAGTGGGAAACAAGGTAAGAACTGAGTAAATCATTTTACATACCATTTAATTTCTCCTCTACATTTATCGAATAATCATCTTGACTCTCGGTTGATTCAATTTTCTCGGTGGGTTGTATCGTTGATTTGTCTTGGGGGATTTCTTCTTCCTGAACTGCCTTTACACGAACACACGCGGAAAATAAGAATACGTAGAAAACCCCAACTGTAAAAAAAATGACGTACATTATTGTTGAATTCTCATATATTCGAGAAAGATATTAAATTTTAACGATAGAATACCAAAAAATATTATTAAAAGGTTTCGTTTGCGCTGCATGTTGAAGGTGCGAAAACCAAACAACACCCAGAGCGTATCGCCTTTTATGAAATTTTTAGAAATAATATTATGCCACGTTTCTGCTCAAATCACGAGACGGATCTGCAAATTCACACGGTTTAAACTAGTCGTTTATTTAATTTTAAAAATAAAACTTCGTTTTGAAAAGGTTTGTGGTGTATAAAGTCATATTAGTTTTTTTTTAATAAACTTATCTTAATTTATTATTTAAAATATCGTAATAACAATAATAATAATAATAAATAAAATTTAATAATACTGTAAGTATAAATCATACAATTGTTATAAAATAAAAAAATTAATAATTAAATGACAATTTTTATTTATGTATTTATTTTTTAAATCATATTTCTTGATTATTTTTATAATTTAAATATAAACCAAATCTTTTTAAAAATAAAGTATAGTGCAAAAAAATCAAATTTTTTTAAACCTATATTTTTATTAATAAATCAATATAAAATTATTTAAATGTTATGTTATAAAACTTTATAAATTTGTTTTTAATATTAATTTTAAATATAAAACTGTTATTTTTTTAAGAAAAGTAATAAAAAAAATATTTCTTTATAAATCTTAAAAATATTTTTAATACAATTAATTGTTGATCAATAAAATAAAAAGTGTTTTACATTATTATATAATAATATACAAGTTTTAAAATAATCTAAATTTGGATGTTTTATATTATATATTCTTGTTAAATATTTTTTGATAATTAACTAATTAATAAATTAGAATGTTTATTAAAAAAATATTTTTTTTATTTTCTATTAAAATATTCAATTTATTTTTTAAAACAAGTATTATTAAATCCATATATACTTTATTAAAAAATTTATTAAAAGAATCTTCTAAAAAATTTGAAGAATTATAACTATTTAAAAAAAAAACTCTTTCTTAAACATACTTGCATTTGAATAAAATTATCAAAAAAGAAAATCAAAAATTTTTTCTTTAAAAAAAACCGTAAAGGACTCCAAAGGGCCCTTTTCATTCTCCAAGGGTCAATTCATTGAACCAACTCATACTTTGCTTAATGTTCTTATCACTGATATCAACAAATGCCTGGCTGTAATCATTCACAAAAACAACAACATCAATATCATTTACATTATCAATTCTACTGCCAACATTCGCCTCCCAAAATTTGAAAACCCTTCAAAAGTATGGCTAACACCAGTATATCTCCAAGAGAATGATCATAAAGTTCTCAAAGTAATTTCAGACTCCTTTGAAATACATAAAAAAAAACTTGGAAATCATTACATTAAAGTCAAAACCAACATTTTAAATTCCATGTTTCTAGAAACAATGAACTCTTTTTTTGAATACCGACATATTTTTAACTTATCCAACAGTAACAAAGCAAAAATCATAAAGGAACTTCTTAAACAAAAACTTACTTACAAACTACACATTTCTTGAAACAAAATTGACATTAATATTGACGAAGCAGTCAAAACTTTCTCTCTGGAGCAAAAAACTGAAACACCCATACCCTCTCCTAACACTTCTGCCTTAATTGGGAAAATAATCAATAACAATAATATACAACTTGATTGTGAGAATAATGCACAACATGCAAACATCCCAGAATACAATATCAATCAAACCAGCTCTAATGCAGCACCCCTGAACACAGCAGCAATCAATCTAGTCCCTATACAGTTTTAAGCAACAATCCTACAATACAGCATAACACTCAAGGACACAATATGCCTATTTACTTCTCCACACATGAGCCATTTCAACCAGCCACAACAAACATGAAAATTGATAAGCCTCCCTCTCCAAGCCAATCAATGAAGACCCTTGAATCCCTTCCTATTGACTGGGCAGACAAAACTAACAAACACCTTGAAGATGACCAAACTGAAAAGGTTAAGGCTACCAGCATCTCTGATATCAGAAATACCTCTCTCAATAAACAGGACAAAATCTTAGAGCTTTGCAAAGAACTCAACAAGTGTGAAAGAACTGTTAAATCTGTAATTAACTTCTTTATAAAGATCAAAAACAAATTGACAGGTGCTTCAAGAACTTCTTTCAAAGAATTTTCTCAAAAATCAAGTACAGAGACCATGACTTTTTCAAGACATTCGCAAAGGATGAATTAATTAAAGGTCAACATTAAAAAAAATATGAAAAAATTGAGAGACAATTCCATTCAAATTACTGTCAAGCCAACAATCTGAGATATATTACTAGAACCGTTCGAAACAAAATCAGGAAAATGATCAATAAGGCTCTATTTATTGCCTACCTGTGCTTAACAGATCTAGCATTACTCAAGTATTGGCAAGTTACCTAACTTCTTGAATATGGATTTAATTTTTTCATTGATTCTACACTACAAAAGATCAATTATCAAGAATTGTACAAAACATGTAAAGAACTTATTCAGAAAAATCTACTTGAGTAATCTAGTGACCCAAGCGAAATTTCTATCACAATAAAAATCAGAATCACCAAAGCTATCCCAATTACCTCAGGCAAAGACACAAGTGAAGTCGTTAGCAGCCTAAGAGCTTTTTATAATTTCAACATTCTCCCTACCACATACTTTGTCAAAAAACTTGATCTCCCCAACAAGCCCATAGATCTTAACTCAGAGGTAGCTTACCTCTTCCCACTTATGGAAAGATACAAGCTTGCAGATCTCAAATTCCATGTGGACAAACTTAGAGAATATTACTATGTTCCTAGCAAACTTTCAGACTCATACTTTGATTTTTCTTCATCAAAAGAACATCTTCCACCATTATTTAAAGACTTACCAGCTAACTTTGCTAAGCATTTTCCAGTGGACAATATAATAGAAAAATTCAAGAGAGGTGTAAAACTGTTCAAAGACAACAATTATGCAGTAAAATGTCTTTTACTTGACTATATAAGAGTCAAGTGCCCTTTCCCTCCAGTACATTGGTACAGCAAAAATAATTCCATTCTCCTCCCAGTTATTACACAAGAAGAGGCAGACGAACTCATCAAAGACCTCAATTATAAATTCTATCTGAAACTTCTCTTAGGATCTGAATGAATCAAGGATAGCCTTAACCAATCTGAAAAATCCAAAATCCCTGAGGATCTTGCCATCATGAAGACTGAGCTAGATATCTCCAGGGAACAACTTAATAAAGAGTCACCTGATTTCAAACAGACCATCTTAAAAATCAAGAACAAATATTTGGTGAAATTCCTAGAGAATGGATTACTCTTTATTATCTAATCTATTACACTTGGAAAAAGCAAATGAAACTCTTATAAATCTTAAAGTCAACCTAACCCTTTTATTAGAGAACAACCTTTACTTGAATAATAATATCAAAACACTTAGCAAGCATTTTCACTTCGAAAAACTTCCAACAAACTTCATAACTAAACCAGAGTCATCTGAATCAGCGATGACTCTTCTCCCCAACCTAATATAACAATGAATAATATTTCATCCAACTTTCAATATTCATTTAACATATTACTTAACTTGCTCCCTGTTATAACTCCAAATACTTTCCCCCATATTCAATTAGATAACACCATTATTTTGTCAACTCAAACTCTCCCTATACACTTGAAGAACCTAATTACTATCTCCATATTCAATATTAGAGGGCTGTCATAAAGAGAAAAATTGAAGGAGCTTCTTAAAACAATTACAAATGAGAGAAGCATTCTTTGTTGCTCTGAAACAAAAAATTCTATAAGCAAACCACTACCCAAGAAAATGAATAATTTAACAATTATTTCAAGCATACCTTCGATAAGTGCAAGTAACAGCACATGCATTATTGCAACAAAGTCTATCAACAACCACATCTTTGATACCTTTACCAAGAATCAATACTGATGTGCCATCCACCTGAAATTCAAGCCAAAAGTCAACATCATTGTCATATTATACTATTTATCTCATGAAAGAGTCCAAAGAAAACATGCAGTTAATACAATTAAAAACTTTATTAAAAAACATCAAGGCAAACATATTATTCTGGCAGGCAACTTCAATTCATACCCTCACAACTCTCCCTCTATTAATGCTCTTACTGCTTCACACAAAAGAACCATATACAGATACCTTAGCAAGTTTATAAATATTGCCAAGACTACTGATAAGAGTCACATTTTCACTTATGTAACAAATACAAGTGCATCCAGAATTGATCAAATTTGGCTCACCAATGACTTGGCCAGTAAAATTTTAAGCTACAGAGTTTTTAATCAACATACTATACTCACAGACCACAAACAAGTTACTATTATCCTCAATTAGTTTGAATATAGACCAGACAGAATCTCGTTCCCCACTAATATATATTAGTTTAATAAAGCAAGCAAAGAACAAATGTTAACAATACAGGAAGACATCAAGTTATCATGTTTAACTAATCCAAATCAGACATGGGATAGTTTTAATAATATCATTAAAAATTTCATGGATGACAACATCCTGCAGAGAAAACAATCCAATCCCAAATACAGAAAAGACCATCTACAACATTACAATATGGCAATCAAGTCAGTCAAAGCTGTAATCAAATTTCTAAGAAGCAGTAGCATCTCAAGACCAAAACTTCACTACATGGTATTAAACATATACAACAAGATAACCAACACAAAACCATGCCTCAAATCACTAAGGAAAACAATAAAGATCTTAATTGATGAAAAAGTGTCCAAATCCAATGAAGATATTTTAAATAAAATACAAAAAGAAATTAGAAAAAATTACTTCAGATTCTGATATAAACCCAAGACACACTCAAAAGAGCCTTAGGAGATTTAAAGCCATCCCTTGACCTCTCTATACTTACTGAAGAAGATGAACTTCACAAAGATCCTGACAAACTTATTGAGATCATTACTAACCACTTCAAAAAAATTCTT